TCAGTACGTTAGACATTTTCATGCTAAAAAAACAGTACTTTTCAGAACATTTTCATTCAAAGCAAAATTATGAATGTAAGTATCAGATAATACTTTAAAACGCCAGAGCAGTTGTTTTTAACAATATTTTGGTATATTAATGAAATATTGTTCATAAAAAAGAAAAGTGTTATTCATTTTAACTTGAGTGTACACAGAAGCCAATAAAATGTTTTATATTTATGACATTTTTGAATGGCAATAATGAGATCATTTCCATCTTCGGTGTTTAAATAATCAAAGAATTCTATACATTTCATTTTAAAATTACTTTTACTTAATATGAAGTTCACTTAAAAAGTTTTTATTAGAGCCGGGTTCTCTCTTTTCGCCAGGAAGCAAACTTTGTACTTAAGATCCTCTCAGTTGCTTCGTTTTGAGTGTGGTATTGAAAAAAAAAAACAAAAAATACATATTATGTCAAACTGTGGAAAGGTACCACTATTTAAGGTCTTCGTCTATATTTCCTCATGGCTTAAACTAATTTTTTCAACTACTCAAAAACTTTGAAAGACTAAGAATTCGAAGAATTGTAAATTATGGGCAAAAGCCATTTGAATATTAAATTTTGTTGTTATTAAATTGACCGTTATTTTCGAGATAACTAGAAACACTCGACAAATAAACGTCAGGCTTCTTTTTAAATAATTTATCCTCCATCATATTATCGCAACTGGTAAGTAACGACCCGGCGATATGCCCATAAAACGATTGATATTTTTGTTGTATTAATTTCTTGGGCATATCAAACATTATCTGAAACATGCCATGTATAATTATATTATTTTATTCTTACTTTTTAAAGTACAGTTTAAGGAAGTTCCATCGTTATGTAAACACCTTAAGAAATTCATAAAGTATTTTGAAAATTCAGTACATATCAGTACAAATATTGAAAAATCAGGACATTAGCATACTGATTGAAGAAATGAATAAAATCAGGACAAGAGCTGAAAAATCAGTACTGTACTGATAAAATCAGTACGTCTGGCAACCGTACCTTTAGACCACTTCGGTATGTTAATTATAGACAATTATTTTCCGTTTACCTTTACCATCCCATGGCACATGACTATGCACATCGCCTTAACAGTATTCAGATGAAACACACCGTATTTTAATTCAAATGGCACTTAATATTTAAATTTGGCACTTTTGAAAAATAATATTATTTCAATTCATTTTTGCAAAATCCTTTGCATGTACTTCTTTTTGTCAACTAAAGTTTTCTAATTTCTATAGTGTATACAACTAGTTTATCTTACTTTGCATTGGACTTTTGTTTTAGGAATGTGTTTGTAATTTTATTGAACTGAAAAGAAGGACAGCTTTTTTGGCACTTTAATTTTTCTATTTGGCACATTTTGGCACTGTTTTATCCTCAATATGGCACTTCATAGCTAAGTACAGTTGGCAACCCTGATCGTACTAACTGAAATTGTTTCGCCTGCGCGATAGTAGAAGTACCTATGTATGAACACTTTTAAGATGCATGCATATAAATTATGCGTGGCTTTTATTGTATCTCTGTATTTCCGTAACTCCCTGTGTGACGATACCAAATAATGTAATTCTTAACAGAAGTGCTTAAAACTTAACAGTTTGGCAATTTAAACACTGTTGAAGTTTATTTCCTTACAAGCGCCTGCAACTATACTTCTTATTTACTACCGCCGCACAGTGGTCGGTCTAGAACAAAGTAGGGGAACTTAATTTAAAAAAAAGATATGACATTTTTTTTTAATCAAGGCATATCATGTCAAAATATATTGCTAAAAAATAATATAACTTTTTTTTCAGATAGCGAAATGTACTTCAGGGTGGCACCGCTCGAAACGTGGCGTTCCATTATTGACAGTTTGCCTGCCGTGTTTTCTTGTTATTTTCGTCAGACATTGAGCCCGTGTAAAAAATTTATTTCAACGACAATCAAAAACTTTGAATGGAATTTAACTTAAATGGTAACTATATTATGTGCAAAAAACAAGTTACAAAGTAAATGTGTTACGTTTCGGTGTAAGTAGCGTGTGTGTAATTTGCTTCTTTGTTGTGTGGTAATTCTTTAGTAATGTAAACTTTCAGAAAGAAAAAGAAAAGCAATTAAACAGGATTAACTCTCTTACCTATATGTTTGTCTTCGTGCAAGTATTCTGCGTCTACTGTGTAGATTTGGCTGCCTATAGCTGCCTAACCGTGTTTTATTTAATTTTAAAGTTACCGCATCTCCTTCAGAAAATGAGACCTATGTCCCTCGCAAAGATGTTTTTTTGTTCATACGAGACAAAAACATGTTAAAAGCACATACAACAACTGCACCTAAAGAAATGTTATCAAACTGTATTACAAAAACTAGAAATATTGGAATTGACAAGTGAAGATCAAAATAAATTTGAGCAACATATACAAAACGTAGTAACTCAAATTCGAAAGAGATGGAAAAAAGTGCACGTACTCTAGACTTTTTTAAAAAATCAATCGCTGTGGCTCTCGAAATAAATAGAATTACGATCTGCTAGAGACGTAGGCCAAGTAGGGCGACTGAAAAAAGTTTTTGACGAATGTTCAACAAAGGTAAAAGGAGAAAAGTGGCGGATTTGCTGAATCGTTCGCAGAAGAACTCAAATAAAATTACATAGCGAAGGAGAGCGTGTTAAGGCTAGTGTAATTAAAAAGGCAATAAATAGCTCAAATAAAAACTTTTCCAGGTGCGGGAATTTTCTTCTCAGTAAATGGGTAATTTTAAGGCTATTAATTCGCTAAGTTAGTTCCTTTGGATTACCTTAATATATATGTAGAAGAATTACTCGTTTACAGTAATAAGAATAAGTGGCGAATTTCCCGGAAAACACGGCTTTCCTACGGCACCGCGATTTACTTTGTTCGCTCCTCCAATTACGATTGCGAATTACCCTGAGACCGCAGCGATTTGTTCGTAATTCGCATGACAACTGCATCTGAATTACTAACAAATAAGGTAATTCACTCTAAAAGTTTAGAATGGCGAATCACGTAATTCGAAGGGTAATTGGAGCGCGAATCACGAGCGAACTACGTAATTGGGGTACCGTGGGAAAGCCGTGTTAAATGTTATTGTTCAACTTTCACAGGCGGTTATTTGAATCAAAAGTTAACACCATTTAACTAAAATTTGAACAATGTCTCCACGCCGTATTCTGCGGTAGATGCTTTAGCATTAATTACCGATTTAGGGTTAACTAAGCACGAAGTACAAAATTCTTCAACAAAGTGCAAAAAACAAAAACACTAATTTATATCCAAGCTGCGAAAGCATTTTAAACGAAAAAAAAATCGTCCTGATTCATCTCTTTGTATTACTGAAAGTTCATCTGTAATACATTTACAGTCTTTGCTTGATTATACAATCAATCGTTTCTCAAAAGCAGAACCTGATGTATTTCAAAGCCTGAGTGAAGGAGAAAATAGTTTGTTGTGTTATTGGAAATGGGGATGTGATGGGAGTGGAGGACACTCACTATATAAGCAAGCCTTTTTGGAGAATGATGGTACAAGTGACTCAAATATCTTAATGACGTAAATCGTACCACTGGAAATAAAGAGACAAACAGATCAACAGAGCTTCAGCAACTCGATATTGCCATCCGATTCGCTTTGCCTTTGAAAAAGAAAGTGTTGAAAAAATTTAAGAAGAATTTGCTCCAATGGAGCTGCAAATAAACGAACTACAACATACAACTTTTTCCACTGGTAACAAAAATATATCTGTAAAGCATCTTCTGATGAGAACTATAGTTGAATTAGGTTTTTCTGTTCTTCACGCCCAAATACAATTTTTTGAATCTTGTCTACACGTATTATATGAGCTTAATATAAGATGTTGGCAGCAAGAGGTGATGCGGCAAAAATAGACGTAAATGAAAGCAAAATTATATTACAAAATAAATTTAGGTCCGAAATGGGTTTACTCGTTGACATCCCGAAGCAAGGAGGTGGAAACACAAATGACGGAAACACAGCCAGAAATTTTTTAAGAACCCGGAAAAATCAGCAGAGATCACTGGCATAGAGCTTGAACTCATAGAACGGTTTTCAACTATTTTGAAAACTTTATCGTGTGGTCTCACTATAAACGTGGACCGATTTAAGAATTATTGTTTGAATACTGCGAAATTTTATGTTGAAAAATACTCTTGGTATCCCATGCCTGTAAGCGTTCATAAAGTTTTAATACATGGAGCTGATGTTATCAATCACTTCCCTTTGCCTATTGGTGAACTAACCGAAGACGTGCAAGAAAGCCGTTAAAGGGATTTTGTCAAGGATTCACTCAGTTACTGACATATTGAATAAGTTGTTGATAACATCTGATCCAGTTATATCAAAGATGCGAATATGTTCAAAAAAAATTCTTAACCCTCTGCCTCCAAAAGTTTTAGGACTTTTGGATTCTGAAATCTAGTGTCAGTGCTAACGATTTTTTGCTATACATATGTATATATATATTATGAGTTATTCTATAACACACGCAATAAAGACGCATTACTTAATTTGAACCTTTATTTTCAATTGCGTTCTCTCCGATTTTCCAGAGTATTTTACGAATTAACTAATGGAATTCATATTGGAACTTATATTTATTGAAAATGTCTTAAAGCCAAAAGCAAGATCCTACTCAAATGAGAAATAAACGCAATAGGCTGTAACTACATTTATTGAAAAAAAAATACACTTTATTACCTTATAAAAGCAGCTCTAACTTAAAGACTAATAAATCTACAAGAAAAATGAGTACATTTTTGAAATTGGTGGCTCAAGTTTGTTAAGAAACCATTCGTATAAGTGTTATTTGGTACTTTTAAAAGAAGTTATTAATTTAGTTCTCCTAAATGCCGAAAATCGACCACTGTGCGCCGGCAGCTTTAACAATTTTATAGTGGTTTTACGTTATTTGGCAAATTACACTCTGTTAGCCATACATTTTACTATGTTTTAACCGCTTTTGTATCAAGACCCCTGGACCATATAGGGAATTCATTTATGTTTTAAATTGTATTGTCATCGTGATTGGAACTATGCTGAAAATTCCAAGTCTCTACCTCGTCGGGAAGTTAGTTTAAAATCGATTGGAAATTTCCACGGGATGACCAAGTTAAATAAAAGCTTGTAAAAATGAATTGAGTTATTGTGAGAAAAAAATTTAATATGTGAGTATGTACTTACAAGTTAAAGTGAACGTCCGCCATATTTGGTCTATGCTTAATAGCCTCAACCAGTGCTTCCTTCGCTTCTTCATATCGACCTAGTGAGCTTAGAAGACTTCCTAGATTACCCAGAGCTGTCAATGGGAAAAGATGTTTACTCAGCTACTTCAAATTCGTTTTTATTAATTTAAGAAAATATCTATGTATGTACATATGTAAATAACAATGTTCTCAATATGAGGCTCTGCTTACTAGAGCCGATACTGACCTTTGGGTGGATTTATTTCCACGGCGCTTCTATACAAGCTCTCTTCACTGTACCAGTCGCAGTTCCGTTGAATTGTGCGCGCTCCGAGCACGCTAAGTAGAATAATTAGGCCGAATATCAGTACAACTTTCCTCTTACGCACTGCAGGCGAATGTATGCGATCCATTAATTTGCCAATGCCGTATCCAGCCATCAAGCAATAACCGACGCTAGGCAAATAAAGTAATCGCTCGGCTACTACGAAACCGACGTAAAAGAATAAGTTCGTAGCTGGAAGAAAGGGCAGTGTAAGAAAAGACAATGCCATTAACAAAATGCAGGTGTTATTAATATGTTGAGTTGTACGCGGTTTCAACATAGGCGGCGACGCTAATACGTGTCTGTGTCGCAACTGACTTTCCGCCATAATGGTAGAAGCATAGCTGCAAGTGCTGCTGCTGGAAGTGTTGCTACCGGAGCTGTTATTGCTTGCTGTCGTGCTGCTACTGCAGCGACTGCTACTACGCGAGGAGCGTGGCGCTACTGCTGTGAGGGCTTTGCGCAGCGCCAAAGCTAGAATGTGGGGTACGTCAATGGAAGACAGGAATATTTGATGGCAACAGCAATCGCTCCCATTAAGCCAATGAGGGTTATTATTATTGTTATTATTAAGAGCACGACAAGAAGGGCTATGGTGGGCAGAACTTTGCTCCTGCTTGAAAACGTGGCAAGCACACCTGAGTTGTCTCGCTTTGTAAGCCACACAGCTCAAAACTGTTGAATCTAATAGGCTATATTGCGAACGTGCTTCTAACGCATCTTCGGCTATTATCATTCGATATTTCTTCTTGGATCGCGATTTACGTTGCTTATATTGTTGATGTTCTGCGTATTTCTGTCCGTTTTCTAGATGCTTCAAACGGAGCCGCAACAGATATCTTATGCTTTTGAAGGCAATAGTGATAAGCGTGCAGTAGAAGAAAAGGCTGATTAAATTGCGTTTATCGTGAAGAGTTATAATTCGCGGTATGGCGTCCATTCCCCAGTCAAAGCTAAGCACCTGAGGGCTGAGAAGTAAACTGAAATTGAACGCTGGTAGGTAAATAAAATTAAGGAATCGAGTCCACATTGAAGGTATTTTTGCTATTGGATTGTCGGCTGCTGAGAAGGCGGTTTGTGGACGAGGAAGCACCAGGAGACGCCAATATACAATGCATACTAGCGATATAGCCAGTATAGAAATAGTGCGCATGCGGTGCTGTAAGGAGGAATTAAAATAAATTCGTTAAGAAGTTAGATGGCGCAATATTCTCATTAAATAAATCGGCCCGAAAACGCTTACTTTATCTTGAAAACCACAGAGCCCACGTATTCCATCGTATACTGCGCACACCAATAGTGCAGTTATTGCTGTTTCTTTGAAGAGAAGAGCAACAAGTGACAGTGTTACTGTGAGGATTAGTGCGAACCATTGATGCATCTCCTGGCGTTCGCGCCACGCAATGTGCCGCATATATGTCAAATATGTGAGTAAATAGAAAATGCAGGCAGCTACATCTGCGCGGCCTACAATTCCAGCTACAGCTTCAGCATGTATCGGATGTGCAGCAAAAAGAGCTCCAGTCGCCAGCACTCCCCATCCTGAAGATAGGTAGTACCGCGCTAGTTTCACGACCAAACCAGTAGACAAGCAATGCATTAAGTTATTGATGAGATGAAACCCCCAAGGTGTGTAGCCACCTAAGAGGAAGTTGAAGCGAAAACTGAGCACGCACAACGGTCGATAGGAGCCATGTGAGCCGGAGTCCATCAGGGGGGTCCCCCAGTAGTCGTGCTGGAAAACACTCTGCCACGGTGTGTTACCGGAGACATCTTTATTGGCTAGGATGGCACGCCTGAAAATGTAAAAAATCCCGAAACACACAAAATCAAAAATATGCAACGTGGGTTTGTTCAAGTTAACTCGTGTTTATACATGTATGTACGTGAATCTGCTTTCGGTTCAAGTAACGCAGTTAAACAAATGAGGTTTCGCCAAGGTGAGGGACGAAAGGAAACCATGCAGGTATCGGTACCCGAAAAATATCGGATCTAAAGTATCCATACCTACTTGTATCGATAGTTTTGGCTATAAAGTTATTCCGTAGGAAGTAAGTTTTATTTTGTTTAACCCTTATGTCAGCAGCAGAAAAATTATACGTACATCAACAGCAGCACACCGCGTAACAGCATTATGGTGTGGCGAAAATATGAATATTTAACACATTTATTTTAAACTGGCTCAATTTGTATTGTTATTTTCTGAGGAAATATGTTTATTTTAAATATGTGAAGAAAGATTTGAGAAATATGTTATCTTACTGTATAAATAATGCGTTTCTGAGAACAAACTCTATGATAGTTGGTTTTGAATGTATGAAAAAAGAATTGTTTAGGTACAAAACTTATATGATTATTGAAACAGGGGTTTCAGGTAGACGCAAATAATTCTTGTTATGTTTCTTGTTACATCCGGTAGTTCAAAACTTGAACAAACCTGAAGAACGTGTAGGCAAAAAAGTACTTAAGCTCTAATATTTACTTGAATCCATGTAGAGCGAACTTGGAGACTGAAGAGAAATAATGTTTTTCTAACCAAGTGCTACGCAACGGAATAAAATTTATAAAAGTAAAAATGGCAAATGGTGAATGGCTCACTCCACGACAACTTAGTGCACTTGATTTTGAGAAACAGCAAGGATACATTCGCCAGAAGTTAGAAGATTTAGGAGAAAAAAATAGTGACGACGAGCATTTCGTATCTGAATAGATTGTGGACGATAATGAAGATGATGTAACTCCAGCTGACTCCGATATAGAAGAAATCGAGTTATCAAAATACGACCCGGAAGATCGTGAAAAACATAACGATATACGGGAAACTATACTGCAAAATAAGAAAAAATTTGAGCAACATACTGCGGTGAGCAAATATGGACCAATACGTGCGGAGGAAAAATAAAGCAGTTGAGAATTCATTAGACAAACCAAGTAAAAGGTGTTAAGACACTATATTAGATTATTGATTTTTGTTTTTTTTTACCAAGAAATACGTTTATGATAAAATTTTGGAAAATGGGCGTGGCACCGCCCACTTATGATCACATTTATGTATCTCGGTAACCGTTCTACCAATTAGTACCAAACTCGGCATGGTTATTGTGCTTGCTACATAAAAGCAAAACGTTGAAAATTATTGAAATCGGACTCAAATTACGGCCGCTTTTCTTATAAAGGTAAATTTCAGAAATGCTTGAAACTTCAAAATTTCGAAATTCAAGGACGCTAATTTTCTCAAAACTGATACACCCCGGCTTACCATGTAGCAGTAGCTTTCGGAAAGGTGAAAATCATAAATTTAATACTTGCGCCGGGTATTTAATGTTCGGCTCCGCCCGAAATTAGGCTTTCTACTTGTTTATAATATTCTGGATGTGGCTGTCCTTACTACGTACACAATTTACGTTGAGAATTGCCCTGCCTGAAGGCCTCAAAAATCCGACTAGGATGTTCACCAAATTAGTGAGCAACTGAGTGAACAACTGAGTGAAGTAAGAGCTAGCATAATGTAGTCGAATAACCTGAATATTCTCTACACGCAACGTTATTGAAGCAATAAATGGCGGTGCTTTGAGGATAATGGATGTTGCAGTATTTAGGAGGTAAGGAAGAACGTGACAGTGCGGGTGGAAACGTACATATTGTGCAAAAGACCCGTGTGTGCATAACATTCTACTAATATGCCGCAATGCAATATCTAGATGTAGTTTAAAAGTTAGTAATTTCCAATTTATTCATATTTTTTTTTATTTTGCAAGTATTATCTTACTATATCATTATATTCTTGTATTATCCTAAGAATTTTATTCAGAATTATATTATTGTATTATTTTAAGAATTTTATTCGGAATAAAGTTTACTTTTCAAATGTATCAACATACATATTTGCGTGCGATTTCATATACACACCCGGGTATGCAGCTGTTGATGTAAGGGGTAAAAGTAAAAAATGGCCTGATCTCTGGGCCAGATGGTGTAATCGTACCGACTTGGAATATGACGTAAAACACGTTTGTTGAGGATATCATGAAATTTCAAGTCATTCCGATATCTAGTTTCCAAACACGCAAACGCAAAACATACCCAGGTATGTTGCTGTTGACATAAAGGTTAAGTGTGTAATAAGTATCATACTCTGGGAATCCTAATCTACGAATAATAAAAGTTGATAATGTAGGAACTGAAAATAAATAATACACCACTACATAGCAAGACCATATGTTTGTTGATGGATGGTATATAACACAAATTAATCTCGTTTAAGAACAAATTTATTCATAAAATATTTTAGCGAAAAAAGTTTTATATTGTGGGTATATTGGCTTGGTTATAAAACAATCGATAACGGGGAAAAGATGTTGTAATTATTACAGCTCGGATTTTTATGCAAATTGAATATGCAAGAATTATGTAAAATATATTAGAAAAGTATATAAAATGTACATAGTTAGATATTCTAAAAAAGATTTTTATACAACAATTTAAATAACAGAGAAGAAACAAGACCAAAGTCGTTTGCACTTGTGTCCATGTTTTCAAGATTTCATAGAAAATTAAACATGTTTTGTTAAACGCATATCTTCAAATTTATTAAAAACTTGCATTTAGTTAAACCACTAAACTATTTCAGTAGTATCTGTGGAAAATCATCCGCATTTGCGGCAGGGGCACGGATTTTTTTTAGTTTAACTTTTATTTCAACATATTTCGATTAAAAGAAAAATACTGATAAAAATAAAATACGTATTTCACATAAACAACAAAAAATATAATCGATAATCGAATGAGGCTATTGCCTGAAAATTTTAAAATGCGCTTAGTGGCATTGTGCTACTATAATAGCACGGCCGAGTAATCATAATAAACTTATGTACAGTAATTTTTTTTAGTTTATTAGTCGAACAAATTATAGCCGCACCAAATTTTCACAAGTTTTAAAATATTATTTTGCTGTTATTTAAGTTTGGTTAGTTTTTTTTTATATTTCATCCTTTAAAAACATCAGAATAAGTACAAGTTTAAAGGCAGTGTCACACGATTGGGTATTTGCCAAAATTTGGTGCAAATCTTATCCCAATTGTGTGAACACCCAAAGTATTTTTCTTTATCCCAATCTCGCAAATTAATTTGTTGAAATTTTTCAATAGAACATCGCTGTAATGTACCAATCTTGTGACTACAAAAAAAAAATTCCCTTTTTTACCAATAGCCCAATACAAAAATGTACAGATCTGTAAAAAGGTACCAATCGAGTGACACTGCTATTAAAAATGTATGCAATTAAAAAAAAAATCAACAAATTTTCGTTAAAATTTCGAGGTTTTTAATTAATTTCTGAGTATGCAGTTTTGTATCCCATTGAATTGTAGTAGAATAAAGTACAAGTTTCAAATGGCTAAAAATTTCGATTGATTTTCTAGAATTGTTAAAAAGTTCGAAATTTGTACGAAAGTTTGTAGAATTTCTTTTTAATATAGCACAAATTTGGAAACTTAGATTTACACGGGTTTTGTTAAAGAAATAACTATATTTTTATAAAAAAAATAACAAACGTTCAATAACAACAAAAATAATACGTTAGAACTTGGCAAAAAGTGTTTCGGCTACAATTTTTTTACCACCGTATGTATGTTTGCCAAGCTGCCAATCTGAATTGCAGCGGCACCATATATGACAAAAGAACGATGCTGCTGGCGTATGCAGATAATATCGATATCGTAGGTCTGAAATAAAGGGACGTAACCGCAGCATTTTCCAGTTTAGAGGTTGGTCTAGCGGTGAACTAGGACAAGACAAAGGACCTCCTGGCAACATATAAGGAGTCCACGCGATTCGGGACACATGTTGGCAGATATGACTTTGAAGTAGTGAAGGAGTCTGTCTACCGAGGATCCCGCATAAACACCACCAACAACGTCAGCCTGGAGATCAAGCGAAGAATAACTCTTGCCAACAGATGCTACTTTGGGCTCGGTAGGCAATTGAAAAGCAGAGTCCTCTCTCGACGAACGAAAATCACGCTCTGCAATCTCTCATCATGCCTGTCCTTTTGTATGGCGCAGAAACTTGGACGATGTCGAACAAAGAAGAAAAGGCGTTGGGGGCTTTCGAGAGAACTATTCTGCGCAAGATCTACGGCCCTGTTTTCGTGGATGACGGGTATCGGAGAAGATGGAATGACGAACTGTATGAGCTTTTTAACGACATGGACATAATTAAGCGCATAAAAATACAGCGATTGCGCTGGCTTGGACGTGTTGTACGCATGGATGACGATGCTCCGGTGAAAAGATCCTTCGACTCCGCACCCATGGGGAACAACGAAAGCAAAGGCGCCCATGAACGCAATGGAAGAACCAAGTGCAGAAGGAGCTGTCCGCGCTCGGGATAACCAACTGGCGCAAATTCGCACAGGAGGGAGGCAATTGGAAACGCTTTTTGGTCTCGGCCCAAACTGACAAACGGTTGTAGTGCCAAATAAGAAGGAGATATATTTTTCTATGTCTTTAATTGGACATGTGCAAAATATATGCCTCTTTTGACTTTTTCAAAGCACATTTTGCCTTTTTTCAAATTTTAAGTGCCCTAAAATCCTACAGTTCTCCATTTCGGAGGGGGGGGGGGGGGGGGGGGAACACCTACTATTACGTGTCATGGGAGCATAATACAATTCTCTCTGCGAAGAGGGTCTCTTTTAAAGCATACTACAGCCGGAAGGAAACTTTGAGTCAAACGGCTAGGCTGGTAAAAGTTTCGAAGAAGGACCAAACCACAAAGCTGCGTTCACTCAAGAGGCCTGATGGCTCTTTAACTGAGACTAGAATTGAGATACTCTCTGATCTTCAAGAGACTCGCTTTCCTGG